TTTCCGTTTTACGGAAATTTATCGTTTATATTGAATGGTAACATTGGGTAATAAAAAGTAGGTGAGCATCCCAAGGCCAAGCAAATGCGATTGGATTATCGAAGACAGGTTTGCAGGAATGTGCATAATACAATCCATTTACAATAACATTAAAAAAATGGAAATTCACTTATTTTATGAATATGGGCTTTGAACGGTCGTAAAGACTAGCAGTCGCGTAAAAAAATATCAACAGGAGTGTTCAACTGGCTGCTCGTTCTCCCCACAAAACCCTCCGACACTCCCCCCCAAGAAATCCGATTAGAAATCTGATCCTCGCCTTGGACTGTGAACTAGGTGGCTACGATAATTCAATGGCAATAAACTGTGGTAGGATGGGAAAATCCGGGCTCCGTTAAAAAAAGATGCGAACACACATTTGTGGGCAAAATTAGAATGCCGCTCCGTCGTATATGACGCAGGCATTCAGGATAATAAGGTGCATAGCTAAAAGTCGTTAGAGCACGTTTGAAGCCGCAGTGGAAAGGCTAACACAACAGTGGTGTCAGAGAGTATTAGAATTAGTTCGCACTCGTGCTGCTGTAGAGATCTACTTTTGCAACTCATGTTACGCTAACTAAAACACTACGTGAGGCATCACATTCTACTGACTCTCCCTGAACGTGATTTCGGAATTTGGGCTTAGACGAATCAAAACGCCCTAACAGAAACCATTTAAAAAATCTAAACATAGTGCAAGTTTGCACAACAATTTTGTCAGCAAATAAGTTTGAAAGTTTCGGCAATAAGGTGTAGAGCTTTGCAGCAAATTGGGTGTGGTGACCAATTCGAAGTCGGTTATTTTTTACTTCACGAAAGGGTTTAATAGGCGTGTTTACCAAAATGTGTTCCAACGACTTAATTGAAGCAACGGCTTCGACCTAGCTAGTGGGGCGTTGGGAGAATGCCACAAGAGAGAGCGCACAAAAACCGAAATTAGGATCCCAATCGCATAACGCAATCACGAAAAGGAACTGGTCTAATTAGGTTGCAAGGGGCTCAGGGGCTGGGGAAGTCGTAAGTTATTCAAGCCAATGCACGCTTTGAAGGAAATAAATCATGGATAAGCTTATCGTTTGCATATGGCCACCCGGCCTTAGCTTTGATTTCGTACAATGAGTGCTGACAAAACGATTCCTCGTTCTTTTTGTACTCAAGCAATAAACTAACTAGTCTTGCAACCGGTTAAATTAACACCCTAACAACAAATTTGAAAGATGATTTACCGTTTTCTTTGTCGCGATTAGCTGTTCCAAGGAGTGTCGCCCAATGGGAGTTTATTTAAAAGATGCATCGTGTAGAACACATTACGCACAGTTGAAATAAACTAACCTTGAGTGGGCAGGCATAATTCTGCGTTTATCAAAAAAAATTTGCAGTTTACGCTTTTGCTGCAGGCCAACGGAGCGTTCAATGGGAAACCAAGAGCCAGCAAGAAAGCGAAAGTCCCGAGACGAGTTGAGCGTGCTCGGTTAGAAATTAATTCTCAAACGGCTTGGTTTTTCATGAAGTCAATAGCTTCATTTGCGAAGACCTAACACACCTGTATACAGTGCTACGAATTGATAAAGCAGAAGGGCTTTGAAGGGATACATCCAAGTTGAGGTAGTTAAGTCCGGTGAGAGGCTAAAGGCAACTTTATCATACCGCGTAGGTCGAAACAGTTGGCTCACATTAGAACGCAATGCCTAAGTCGACTATTTGATATATCGCAATGAAATTCGGACACACAGTCAATAAAAAAAATCCAGAAGACCACCCTACGCTCTAATGATTTACGGGAGAACTACATGCAATTTGTCAGGTCAACTGCGTCGCATGTCGTACCAGGGATCCAGCAGCATTAAAACTATAGCATAAAACGGCCTGTCTACTACTGAATACTTCCTAACGCAGCGCACGGCCAAAAGTGGTGGAGAACAATTCCATTAGGCACAGCATTATAGTCTGGTAGTTTTTTTGAGCTCGAAAATTCTAACAATTAAAACATCGATAAGGCTGCATGCACGCACCCTGTCGCATGGCACCGCGACGCAACACATGAAATTGTTTTCGACAAGATACAATTTTGTACTAAGCGACAGTGCGGAAATGCTGATCTGTTGCTTTTATTAGTCCAAGTCATCCAACCAAATGGTGTTCTAGCAGATGGTTCAGCCTGTTTTTTTAAACAAACAATACACGACCTGTCAATGAAGAATGGCCGCCAAGAAAGCAAAATGAGAAGCATCTCCGCACAGCCCATTGGTAAGTCATTTCACTACAAAAGTGGAAAAAATTATGCGAAACGTCGAAACCGAATTTATTGCAACTAGCGTGGAACTCGAGCTTGATTCATGCATTTGACAGATGAGACTGTGTTTTCAGATTAACCTCATGGAACGTGAGATTGGATGCCAACTGCTATACCAAGCCATTACACGACACACATCTCCGACTCGAGTACTAAGAGTAATAATTCAAGTGGGCGAAAATCAACATGGCTCATTACACAGAACCGTGATTGAAGATTTTGACAATCGCATTCATTCCAGCAGGGGACCCTAAAGGGAACTCTAGCATCGCTGATACGTAAGCGAAGACACAAAACACTAGGTAACATTGGTACGGCATGAGGTACAGCACAAGCAACTAAGAAATTTGTGGAATTCCTACGACGCCGAGAAAATTATTGCAGCAACTTATAAATTGTGTAGACCTGAGTATGGGATGTCGTGCAAACTATCCAGCTGTGGACCTTTAAGGAGATCAGCGAAATCCACTGTTCTGTATTTTGGGGATCATAAGTATAATGCAAGAAACAATGGCAGATTATCTTGCATTTGCTCAAATGCGTTTTCATGCGATTTCAGCATCCCGAATCAAACAACTTATTATAAAACCATTTCTTTCATCATGTTTAATGCCTATGGATGACAAAAAGTCATCTAAGTGTTCAAGATTTCATTTAACCGGGGTCTTGGTGCGGCCAATTACTGAGTAAAGGGTATTGAAACCAATGGTATATGGGCAGCCCATGGATTCAGATTGTTTCAGTTGATTAATTTGAATGAAGAGCCACATGGAGTTCGCGCCGACGCCCGAAATCACTCATTTTCGCTCAACTAATTCAGCATATTGCGTTTGTGAGTGATGACTCACCAGAAGCCTTATCAGTTTAAATGAACATACCTCGACATTAAGTGTATGCCATTAACTCCAACTATTTTTGGCCAAGAACGACGAATTCGGAGACACATTTCAAATAGTACAAATTCTCCAGTATGTACAAGACTAGTTCCGTAGCCCATTTGTGAAGGATAGATTTCCGTGGGGGATTGATTTATAACCGCAGTGACAAGTCGATACAACTGGCAAATGCCACGATGACTGGAGTGGTGGCAATCAGTGGCACTGAGGCCAAAAATAATCGGGTTCCCGGACGGCATGCCAAATAAATTGCCCTAAAACGTAATTTCCACTTGTACTATTGGCGCCGCATCCGACTTCTCGGTCACGAGTGTCCGCAAAGGTCGCCTTGGATAAGAATACGTACTTGCCATGAGATGCGCTATTGTCTCAGAAAAACCGAGGGGTGAAAGTAAACATGACGATCTAAATGACCTCGAGGGTTCGTACAAGATATCGTGATAATTGAAGTGTCAGGTTTGCTGAGCTGACAACATCCTCGCTACGATCTGTTGGCTGACTGTCAGCTTTGAACACGCAGGTTGACGTGTTGTTGAGTTTACTCAAACGACAATCACGCTGACAGTGAATTTGTACTGATCCACTTAGCAGACGCACGTGTGCGTTGTGTAGATGTTTCAACTGTTCGATATTTTCCCTTTAAAAATATCCAAATTGATGGGTTCGAGTACAAAAGTGTACAACGATAGAGCATAATAACTATCCCAAAACTCTAGTCAAAAGCAAAAAAATTACACATCTACTCACTAGCCCTATAAATGGGGCATTGATGAGATACGCCTCATTCAGAATGTAAAAGAAACAGCTAAACTACGCCTTCATCATCACTGATGATACAATCTCATCTGCTGGATAATTCTTCAATTTCACCTTCTTGGCGGTACAGTTGCAGCACAATTTTTCAGACGGCTTTTTAGCACTAAATAAAGTCAACTGCTTTCGATTTTGGCCTTCTATACTTGCAATAAATGAAGACCCAAATCTGGTGCTTTAAACGTTTGAATTATCCTTCAGCAGGAACACATTATCGGCGTACTTGAACTAACTTTTTGTTAAGAGGAATTTATAGCAAATAACAGTACCGCCGAGATATTGGGCCGGTTAATCAGAATGACCGTTTCTGTCCTCAGACTGAAACGGCCGACATAAAAAGAAACCTCCTGTTAAAATTACACGGACCTTAGGAAATGGTTTTTAAAGCAAACATTCGATGCCGTGGAACAAAAGGCACGAGAGGAATTGTTCCGACATCACCAACAAAGTAAAATGCGTAATTTTTGAATAATGAATGTTCGCAGGTCATGTTACCAAGACAATAATGCCAATGAGAAATAACAGCACCTAGATACCGTCGGAAACATTTCGACAGTGTTCAAGGGAGTCATTGTCGCGGCAATTCTGATTAATAATGTAAAAATTTCATACAAAAACGGAGGTAACAAGGGAAAACTACCTGACATAACGACTGCACAACACACTTCTAGCGTTATTATCGTAATATAACTTAAACAAAACGACGTATGGAGCAAGAAATGAATTCTGATAGCCAGTGACCAAGATAACATCATTAACACACCTTGGATTATAATGTTCTTCGAAAAAAAGGGTCTCGTAATTTAACAGTGGTGATAATTAATGGAAGGGATACATTACTTAATCACTCCTTTATTCTCATTTGATGAATAAAATCCACTTATATCATCAATGATTATATAAGTCCCAAGCGATACGTAAATTCAGAAGTGTAATCAAGGTCACAACACAATTAAAGTCTATACAAAGTTCAAGCTTGATGAGGGCTGGCAATGCACTGGATTAGAATCCAACGTTGATACAGTAACACCACGGGCCAAGTGAGGTCTTACTGCATGTCGCTCATCCTCACCCACCCAATCGGAGACACAAGAACCCTCTTTGCTTATACACCCACCGCCCACATTGTCTCCCACCCCCCTGAAAAAGTTCAGCAAATCTATTGGTAGGGGAAAGACGATGGTTGAGTTCTTTTCTGCGGAGATTCCGGCCAGGGTCTGCAGGTAGCGCAGTTGGAGGGCGATGGGGCATGCTGAGATTTCAATTGCAGCCGCTTTCAGCGACTTCGAGGCATCTTCTTCACCCTTAGCGGCAATGACTTTTGCTTTTGCCTCCCTCGTGGCCTCAGCTTCTGCAGCCATCGCCCGCTGAAGTTGCAAGGGTAACCTGACGTCCTTAATTTCCACACGTTCAACTTTGACACCCCAAGTGTCGGTTGCAGTGTCCAAGGTTTCCTGCATCATTGCGGCTATGTCCTCTCTGTCCGTGAGTAAGGCGTAGAGATCAACTGTTCCCAAGACATTCCGTAAGGTTGTCTGCGCTAAAAGTCGTGTTGATCGATTAGCGTTCTCGACATTCACCACAGACATGACAGGGTCGAAAATCCGGTAATATACGACAGCTTCGACTGCCACCGTGACAGAATCTTTTGTAAGCACCTCCTGGGTGGGAACATCGAATGTAAAGGTTCGGAGATCAACGCGGCGCATTCGATCAAGAAAAGGAAGCTTGAATATGAGCCCAGGACCGAGAGCAGAACTTGAAAGGAGCCGACCAAGGCGAAAAATAACTGCCCGTTCATACTGTGGGATGACTCGAAGGCAAGCGAGAAGGGAAAATGGAAATCCGATTATGACCAGAGCTATTGTAAGAATTTTGAGAAACCGTTCACAGATTAGGGCGCCAATGACACTCAGACTTTCCTTGGCAGCGCGCCGACTTCGAAGGCTGCTTAATTGTGTATCGGTGAATCGCTCAGGAACAAGGGAGAAACCGCGTTTAAGGGGTTTTCGGGAGGGCGACTGGGTGTCTGCATTGGAACTTAGCATTCCGTCAGAATGTGTTACACATGCCGGCGGGACAAGGGAGAAGTTTAAGGGCGCCGTCGACGGGACAGTGATCCCCATCATTTTCGGACAAGGGTACAACAGGGACAGTGTTTCTACTTTAGCCTCTATTGGCCAAAGTGTTCAACCAATCAAAGACAGGAAACTTTTAGGCTGCGTTATTAAATACGCTTTCTACTGATTTTTGATGAGTACAAATCGCATTATGCGACTATATGGGTTGTTCTGGTGGGGTTACAAATACGGCATAGGAGAGTTGCGTTGAACTCGTAAGAAATCACAAATGACAGTTTGAAGACACATATACGAAAATAGCCTGCTCAAATGTATAGATCCCTGGGACGCAAATTTCAAAAGAACATCAAAGAGCAATCCGCCAAATGCTAACGGAAATTAGACTGAAGAATTGGAAGGAGCAAATACACACACACACACACACACACACACACACACACACACACACACACAAACACACACACATTGATCTTCTCTCAGGAAACTTAAATGACCCAAATCTCACCTAAATTCGTCAATTACCATGACACATTTTAGATCCGAGGACAAAACCCGATTTTGCAAAAAAGAGTAAAATAGCGAAAAAAAGGAGGCATTCGTGAGAAAATCCATATTATGCTTAACCAAACTAGCATTATTTGCCTTTCAGATTTTTTGCAAACATCAGAGTAGTTAAATTTAGCATTTCGTCCAACATTTTACAGGAGTCTACCAAACGATTACCAAACAAGTTACACTAAGCTGTACTCGATTGCAAACGCTGAAAGGTATATATTACACCAATAAACACAAAATCGACTTTAATTGACAAAAATATAACTCAATAGTTGACGTACTTTCGAATTTTTGCACACCAACAATTAAAGGCATGAGAGTTCCGAGATGAAAGCACCTTGTTTAGTTGCTCCACAGATCTACCAGAGGCCAGAGGTTTTATATTTTCCTTGGATAGATCCCACTCAAATTCTATGGATGACCTTGAGGACATTTCAAAGCAT